GCTTAGCTGCTCCTCCGGCCCTCCTCCCCACCTCCTGGGCCCCGCTTCTGGAGATGGATATGGGATCCCCAGCGGAGGAGCCAGAAAGGAGTATCCGGGTCGCATCCGCTAGACGCGTCACTGACCTGCCCGCCCCATCAGTGCCCGGAAGTGGCTGGCAGCCCCGTCTGGCGCGTGCGCAGTGCTTGTGAGCCACGTAGACTGTGGGTGAAACAGTGACGCGCGCGCGGCTGGACCCCCCAGCGGTGTGTGAGGTCGGGGAGCCGGGCACGCAAGCTGGGGGGCCGCTGGGACTCTTAAATCATTATTGCATTGTTCAGCCCAGCACCTGCCTGTCAGTGGCAGTTACACGTGCACACACAAGCACCCAGGCCGACTTTACTCTGCACTCGTGTGAATCTGCGTAACCCGGAGTAACCAGAAGTGGGCTGGGGAAGGGGAAAGCCCTGGAGGCTGTTCTTGTAAGCCCAGAGAAGGAAGCGGTGTTTTTACTACGCGCTTACAAAAAAAAGTTTGGTTCTTTGTGGAGGATATTGGCAGAGACATAGACTGCTTGGCAAATTGGCAGGTATGCTTTGTGAAATAAAACATTTTTTTGACCAGGCAAAAATTTAAACAAACAAAAAGTTGTTCTTTGGCTCCCTCTTTTCCTGCGACTGTGCATAGTGTATCTGCATTATGCATGGAGCAAACCTTCCCAAGGCAGAAACACCTGCTCAACCAAAAGAGCAACATTCTCCAAGCATCAGTAAGAGAGCTCCTTAAAGGTTACATTCCTTCTTGATAAGGGGGTCACGTAGCGCTTAGATCTGGATTATGTAAATTGCCAGTAGTAACATCATTTAATGTACATCCTTCTCTCTCAAAAAACTTAATATAACTGTGACTTGACTTCTAAGGGGCAGAGCAGTACTCAGATAATTCTGAGGCGCTCCTCTGAGGTTATAATCCTCAAATTTGTCCGGAATAGAACTTCCTGTTTCTTTCCTAGGTCGACTGATTAACTTTTCGTCGACAGGTTTTATAACCTTTTGTTGCCCTCCAGCCACCACTGCATTCTTCTTCCTTCCTTGCACCAGGTCAGGACAGGGAAAGGTAGTGCAAAGAGGGAAAATACTAGCCAGGTCTGAAAA